CGAATGCTGTACCAATCCATCGCTGTGGCACAATTTATACCCACGGAAGTCGCACACTTAATGACTCCAGGTCCTTCAGTAAAAGCCCACGACCTACTGATGATCAGTAACCACTGTGAAACATCTGTAAGCATCTGGCTTGATCTACTCTTAGTGAGCTTCTTATGTATTATATGTGGTATATGTCCTATAACACAACGGTCGTTTGCGTCAGTAGCAGGAAGGAGGGCGGACAGAATGCGACCGAGTGAGATCCTAGTCACAACAGTGAGAGTCAAACGGTTACTTGACAGGTTGTGTATTTTTATGTGGAGTGGCGGACTGGTGGGCTAAGAGCCAGGCCGAAACTGCTTCTTCTTAACGTGACCTACAGTACCTTCACGTATGCTAGATGCGTGCCGCCCAACCCCCGTTGTGTGAAATCCTAGTCCTTGAGTTTGAGGACCAGGACACGTTTGTGGCGCGCGCAGACAAGGTTACTAAACCATGCCAGCCACAGCACCCATTCCCTGCGCCTGTCAAATTACCAGCTCGGACAGTGTCTGAGGCCTGGAAATGCGAAGGGAGAATGAGGTCAACGACTCAGCGCATTTTCCTCACTATAAATAATCTGACGCGATTGAAGCTATCACGGTGCACTGAAAGTCGGGACTTGGAAGGTTGCCGATTGACGGGATAACTTGGACCTCACAGTCGGCCCTAGTGTTGTGTGTTTGTGTGGAGTGACCGCCTGGTGGCCAAAGAGACAGGCTGCAATGGCTCCTTCTTAATGTGGCCTTTATGGCACTCCCACTGTGTGAGATCCGAGCCGTGTGTGGACGGCAGGCCGAGGTGCGGCTCCGGCCGCGAACACATTTTGTTGTTCGTCAAAATCCTAGTCATTCGTTGTGTGGGCAAGGAAGTGTGGAGTGGAGCGTCAGGTTACTGTCCGGACCGTACCATCCGCCTACGCCCCCATGATTTCAGTCTTCTTGACTCTGCCTTGACACCGAGCGCAGGTGAGCGAGCAGGGGGGAGAGTGAGGTAGATGCATCGCAAGTCCGTAGTCTCTATATACTAGCTCACGCACAAGTCGCCATGTCTGCTTCACATTGTTGTGGAGCACGTGATAAACATCGACGACAACGACGGTCGAGCTGTTGGTGGCGAAATTTATTCTTTGCTGTGATATCAACGCTCCTCAAGTTGAACACACTCCGTTTTAATATCACAATCTTATTGAAAACATCCGAGAGTACTTCGAGCTATAGGCCGATAAGTTCCAACTACTCCCAGACCTCGCCGAAAATTTCTCAATATACTGTCTCAGATGGCGCTTGACGAGGTCATTCACAGTGTGTTAAGAGGCGCTCATGCATCTATCGATGCACTCACAGAACGAATGATTTGCGTGATACACCGCGAGCTCCTATTCCTCGTTATTTTGGATGTTTTTATGGCATTCGCGTTGACGTTAGTGACGATGAGGATTATGGCGATGGTTGTGCGACTATTGGTGATGCTGGTGGTTGTGATGATGCTAGATAAAAGTATTCTTATTACATTTTTTAGTCAGAATATTCGGTAGGGATTGAGATCGATGAAAGCGAGCGTACATGTCCTGGTTGTTTGAATGGTGTGAACACTTTCGACGCCGATGACCAGCTGTTATTATTGACTACACGATCTCTTAAAAAACCATAAAAACTACGCCTTACTTTTCGAATCTTCAACAAAAAGAGTGCTCTTCGTCACCGCATCCACGACTAAGATGTTAGCGTTTTTTGGGTAAGAAAATCCAGCGAAGTTTGGTCCTGCAAACCCGCCTGGGTAATACTATTACTTTTTTGCATCTTCCTTACCATTTTAATGCAGCGAATGCCTTTGCCACGGAAGGAGGAGTGCTTATACGCCAGCCTCGGTTACATGAGTTATGTGTTTCACGCGCTTCCCTGAACGTGCTTCGAGCCCTGCTTACGCTCTCTTTCCCTTCGTAGTTCAACGAGTTTCTAAGTCATGTATGCTAAGTAATATTGTTTTAGTAAGCTAACCAGACGATATCTATAACGTGGTGCCGCAGAACCAAACCTCACCGAAAATCCGGATAAATGTGGATATGTTTACAACAAACACAATCCCGCTGACTCACAAGCACTCTCAACGTAATCTCGGGACAATAACAACTCAAGATACTTCATCTATACATGTTCCACAGATCTACCTTCCCTAGTAACATGAAAAAAAACAGAAGATGAGAAGACAGCCGAAAATCAGTTCATTTTGCAGAAAACAAAACATGTTACAAAAGTGGGGAGGAATTCATACGTGAAACCAGTGTCGTACCAAATGGCCTTCCTAGTGAACGATGTCTGCCATTGTCCGGGAAGGGGGTCGCAGACTCCGCTATCCCTAGACGAGCGGCTGTCAGTGCATTGCTTGCAAGGGCATTTTCAGTCCAAGTGTAGAGTGACTACGACGCTAATATATTGTATGCAACCCCTGACACATGTGGTTTCTTCGCATAATAAGAAGCGTCAACTCTTTGAGGTTTCGGACCACCTTCACTGTGATCCATTACACCGACTTTGTTTTCACGTTATCTTTCGTGATGTGTCTCTCGTCGTCTTCCCCCACAGTTGCACACTAAGCGTCTCCTCCAAATATTAACTCTTTCCCCCTCTCCTTTTCGGGGTAGCATCGCTTCTTATGGGTGCATCCAGATAATTGCCACACACAACCAGTCTCGACTCCACACTGGGACGAAGATTCCCTTGTGAGCATTACGCTGACACCCTCCAGTCTAGCAATGCCGGAGTCTTATTCCCGATTCCCGACCGGAACCAAACCCTGCGGACGAAGGAGCGAGACCGCTTGAAGTGGACTTTCTGATTTGGTTCCAACAGGCAGCGAACACTGTCTTTATCCGCCCTGCTCCGTGCGGCACCGTCAGTCTCCGTCCACGGCCGTCTGTGGTGTGATGTGTTTAAACTGACAGTAAATCGATATTTGGAGGTGGTCGATCAATCGCTAGAGTCATGCGGTCTGATTTGACTTAATCAAATGCCTCGTGGGCCTTTGAATGACAGAAGTAAACATGACTGGCGTTAATAAGTTGAGGCACTCGCAGACATTAGTGGGCACCACCAGCAAAAGAAAAGGCAAGACTAAGCATGCAGTCACAATAAAACCTACTAAAATCGGGGAGGCGAGTGAGACGAATGTGTGGGAAGAATAATGACGTTCATAACTGATTGGCGTGTCTGCTCACTTGGTCGCCTAGTCTGCTCTCACGGTATAATTAGGTTTCCGAAAAGAATCACTATAGCTATTTAGATCTGACACACTCTACTTTCCTTCTTCAGTTCAATGAAATTATAAAGAAGTCTGGCATTTGTTAGTTTAAGCTCAAGCGATTTTGCGGTGTACTAAAATGTAACAGTGATAGAGATAATATTATCTCATTTCGACCGACCCATTTGACCTACAGACGGTGGAGTCGGGTACAAATCTTCGCAGTCTCAAGGAAGCCACCACTGCGTATTCCTCGGGACGAGAAGGGAGGCGCTGGGTATGTGATAAGCGTCTAACCATTCTCTTCTTTAGTTCTGCCGAAAAGGTCTTCACTCATAGTCTTCTTAATGCATCAACTTCAGAGGCCGTCACCGTGTCAATGAATTAGACGGGGTTACGTGCTGGCTCCGATCCACTCCCTAGGCATCACGTTCACTGCAATGCCGACGGACGAATATCGTGTTGGGTTACCTAGATTTGGATTAAATAAATCACTAGGAAGTCCTCCAACGTCCGATGTATGCAGACTTGAAGAAATGCTTGAGGTGGAGGGCATAGAATCTTCTTAGAAAGAACTGCTGACTGAACATCATAGCCTAGTCGGACGTGCTGTTCTTCGCCACGAGATGCACAAATGTGGAGCTGAGCATTGTCGATGGCAAACAAGTGCTGTCGATGTGCACGACCGAAGACTTCTCTGCCGATGGCCCGGGTGGTATCCCCGCTTCGGCCTTGCCAAACTCCATTCTTTTGTGGTTGTTAGTTAAAATCCTGGCAAATTATGTTTTGTGGACCAGGGGTTGTGGTGGCACGCCTAGGTGCGGGTCCGGTCGTGCCAGCCACCAGCGCGCTCCCCCGCCTCCGGCTTTCCTGACTCTGTCTTGACACTGGGTCCAGGTGGGGAATGGGAAGAGAGAGTGCGGCAGATGCTGCGCAAGTCTGCTATCACTTTCAACAGATTCACGCGCGAGTCACCGTGTCTGCTGCACATTGTTGTGGAGCACACGATGGACATCGCCGGCAAAGACGGACAAACTGTCATCCCTCAGTCCTTTCAGTTCGGTGTCGACAACGGTATTCACATCTTATGCCTCCATTTGTTGCAGGTAAAAATGTAATGCTAAAGTCCTCTCGACGTTAAGGCTTATCCGGCAAGATCTTATTTCATACCTGTGTACCTGTTAGATGTTATGGGTCAGTGTTAGGTGTTAGAGGTTAAGGTAAGGGGCTGGCCAATCCCATAATACAGCCATTATCTTACCTACTGTTCAGTTGCCTCTCGGGTTTTTGCGATGTTGGAGTTGGAGCCCTGATCTCGGAGACGACAAGACGGTGATCTCACCAGATATCTGGTCCATATCACGCTGGTTCCGTTGTCGGATGCGGGTGTAGGCCACATGTCATCGAGGCATGCAAGTTGTCTCGTCCCTGGGTGGGAGGGCGAAAGATTGTGTTGGTGGGGGTGGGGGCGGAAGGTTGTCTTCTATATGGGTCTGCAGGAGGAGAGGGCCACTGTTGTTGCAGATATAAGTGGGGGCGTAGGCGATGTCAGCGTTCCCAGATATGCGTTCCCAGAGAGGCCGGCGCAGAGTCTTCGGGCGGTCGTTGATGTCCTGCGTCAGACAAGGGAGTCATGCCATGTGTCGTTCCTGAGGGGAAAGGTGACTACGGTATCACGGCGCTCTGCCTCTGGACATCTGCTCCTGTTTTTGGTGGGGCCAAAAACAGGCACGACAACGACCAACAACAAGAGCATCATCATCATCATCATCATCATCATCATCATCATCATCATCATCATCATCATCATCATCATCATCATCATCATCATCATCATCATCATCATCATCGACATCAACATCAACAACAACAACAACAGCTACAGCAGCAACAACAACAACAACAGCGACAACATCATCATCATCAACAACGACAACAACAATAACCTGATCTTTGTGAACACATGCACTTACGGTTAAGGAAGGTTCGTCAGCCACCTCTGCATACAGTTTAACAAGGATCACTAGTCAATTCGAACACCACTTAAACTGCAAACACGGTCCGACGAATATGCCTACCATGTGGAAAGTACTGAAATTGCGTAGAATAGCTAGGATGCAACTACATCTCATTTCCGGGGCGCGAACGAATTGCTTACTCGCTGCACCATAAGCTCTTTTTCCTCAGAATTTTGTTCGTCATCATCATCCCTCGGTCTTTGAGTTTGAAGCGAGGAGAAGGAGGAGGCAGCAGTAATAGTAGTATTTAAGGAATAATAATAGCAATGATATTAATAAGTAACAGAGAAATCTAAAGCGTCTCATCTTCTACTTTCCATTTCCCACTCACAAAGACAAGACAGGTTACTTTCGGGATCGCCTGGTTGAAATAGCCTTCTTTTCATTCCTACCTCTGACGGCGATAATAAGTCTCGAGTTAGAAAACCAAAACTGGGCTCAACGATTGCAGTTTGAGCGGAAGACATTAGTCCATCTTCGATGCCAGGACATCTCATCAGGTACTGCAGCATGAATTGGAGAATTGAGGAGCGAAATCACGGAATACTGAATTTAATGGAAATCCTCATGCGCGGTCTGTGGAAAGGCGGGCAATTGGTATTTCCGCATTGCTCCCCGGTCTAGGAGTTGCTGTGGTTAACAACGTGTAAACCCGTTGCTACCAGTCAGAAGACTAGGCAAAATGGGGGTTCACTGTTTTTTATTGATGGAGAGTTGCCCTCAGAGTTTTGACACGGTGGCAAATCTCGTCGACCATACGGGGGTGCGAATAGTTCATAGGGGACCAAATAGTCCATGACGTGCTGCGCTTATTTCATACGAAGGAGGTGAACGAAACGAGGATGAACTACTTCAAGTCCTGCCATCCTGCTGGGGTTCCAGACTTGGATAGCAGTTGTCGCCACTCCAGCGAAGATGACAGTGGAAAGCACCTGTGCTTGACCCTTATGACGGAGAGGGCATCACACTTCTCGTTGACGTCCTCTATTCCTTCCGTCAACCACAGCCGCATTCCACCATGGGTGCCAATCGGCAAATTGTCTCCGACGCCTTGCCCTCAACTGAACTTTGTCGCTGTTGACCACGTCACTAATCCGTACTTCTGATTGTGCTTCTTCACGGTCAGGTTGCGTCTCCGTAAAGCAAGTTACCTTTTCGCACCAATTTCTTAATTTCTCATCTGGGAACCGCACCAGTTTCATGCATCGTCCATCGCAAGTAAAATACTGTGTTCAAATATCTTCCTACTAGCTACCTGAGAAGTTAGCTTGCTTCTGTGAATCATAGAAATGTAATGGCAGGTCGGGGTCCGCTACAACGTCTTCCTGTTCAGATAAATGTAACCCTTCCATCTGTCAAGTACTGGCAAATCTGATGGTTTTTTCTAATAGCGGGTTATTATTCTCCATAGCAAAGTACTGCTAAAAGTGCGCTACCAAATATGCCCCTCGCGCCTCAGCAACTGTCTTAACCAATAGCTTAAACAAATTTTGGACGTAAAAGAACAAATTCCCGACTTAAATGTCAAGGTAAACATACATTCGATGACTGTCGGAACACTGTCCGGCACGTCAATAGAGAAAGCGATGCAGCGAGGCGAATCCCGTTGAATGAAAGCGGTAAGAGTGAAGCAGTTATATTTCTGAGGGCGTGTGTTATCCGCTTGGCGAGTCAGTTAATTTCGCGAGGGGTTGGAGACTCATTGGTGGGATCTTATTTCACAGCCGTACCTGCAGTAGACAAGCACTAGTCGCCTGTCATGCGGGACCAGTGGTAATAGGGGGTCTAACCTTAATCCCTAGCACCCAACCCTGACCCCTTACTCCTAACCCATAACCCTAACCCCTAAAATGTACGGCTACGAAATAAGATCTTACCGACTCATCTATGCAAGGACTAATTAGAATGTCCATATAAGTGGTAACCGAATATTTGGCCGCGCACTTTAGTCGTAGGTACCACCCGAAACATAGCAACAAAATTAGCATTCTCAAATGAATAGCTCCAAGACAAGCGTACCGCTAATCGTTAAACGTAATTTAGTCCGCTGTTTAACAGAAAGAGTGAGAAAATTCTGCTCAGCTGATAGTGTAGAGAAAGAGCTTAAGATCAACGAAAGCCTCTTTTGCCAGAACGGATATCCTGATCGATTCATTGCTAAAAACATGACCGAAAGATCACAAAAGCCCCCGATACTGAAGGCAGAAAAGGAAATGCTCTTTATCCGGATCCCCTTCCACGGGGATGCACCAAGTGAACTTTTAAGAAGACGCCTAACTCAATCTGTATCACGGACTTTTCCAGCGGCTGACACCCGTGTACTGTTCTCCACCCGTCCCATCCTATATGGAGAGGGCAAGGACAAACTACCAGTGCAGACCACCTCTGTGTATTTACTCCTTCATCTGCTCCTATGGGGCAGAATATTTTGGTCGCACGAACCGGCGTTTATCCAAAAAAATAAAAGAACATCGCCCAGTATAGTTAGGAAAGGGACAAACAAAGAATATCAACAGCTCAATCCTCGCACACATGGCAGACACAGACCACCGTGTAGTCGCCAGGGCGGCCTTATGAGTGATTTACAAGGTCCCGTCAAGCTATCCAAAACTACTTGGGCGGCGCTTGTTGGCGACGACAGAGGAGCCTACAATCAGGCTGCACGAACCGGCCCTATGCGCACAGAAGAAATTCATACAGGTCCCACAGTTGCCATGGCTCAAAGCCACCAAGCCAGCCACCCGCATATAATTACCTGCATCGGGACCCACTCTCCCCCTGGCGCTGACTGGAATTGTGGTATCTCACCCTCCCCTCTCCAAACCCGAGCTACAGCTTAATTTTCTACTTGCCCGTATCTTTTTAATTCATTGCTTCAATAGCCATATAAATGTACAGGCCTAAAGAGAATTTTTCGAAGGCAGACCTATGCTCGTCAAATTGCCTATTGAAACATTCACATTCGTCAGCTCTCTATCATCCACAATCATTTAATCATCGCAATCGGCGTCTTCACGTCTCACACTCATTATGCAACACGCGGCGTAGATAACACGTGCTCTCGTGACAATCCATCGATTGGCACTTCAAGCGGCTTTCAAATTTGCCCAGGCTACGAACGCTGCGATGCCAGCAGACGGCTTTCTGCAGCGCTTTTCTACAGATGCGAAGAAGCAGCCGAACATCGTGAAACGATTGCTTGGTCTGCTAACTCACTGGAATGTCAGTCAGTTGAGGAGTGCTCTTCTAAGGCGAGTGGGGCGATGGCACTCGAGCAGGGTGTCTCCACTCTCTACGGCACAAAACACGGGTGTAATAGGAGACTGTGTGATGGTCGGTGGAATGGGTAGCAAGGGCGATGGTGATGCCCTACACCACCCACAAACTCATGCATCCCATCCACAAGCGCAGGTGCAGAAGGCGGACTTGGAAATGACTGACCTGCCTTCTAGACGACTCTCCTCCCCCTTCACGTATGTGTTCCGATTGCTTGCCCCTTATCCTCCCGAAGTCCACCTGTGCCTGCTACACGGTGCATAATATCGGCTCGCAAATGCTTACCTTCTAGCTCTTGGACGGACATTTCGTCGATGTCGCCAACTGTATCGCCTGATCCCTACACTACTGAGCACTATCAGCAGTCTGGAGGCAGCGGCGATGGCGACGGTGACGGCGGCGACGGTGACGGCGGAAACTTATCGAAGTCCTCCTCAATGGTCTCCTTCTGTCACAGCCTCTACGAGGACGAGGATCCGCAGATGAGCATGGCGGCGAAGCAATGCAAGCGCTGTCAGTTTCTTGAAGCTCGCGCAGCTCTCACTGAGCGTACGTTTACTCCTCCTTTTAGTCCCGCCTCCATTGGCATCTTTCATGTCACAGCACCGCCTACCTCCGATACTGTCCTCCAATTCTGCATTTAGGGATGAATCAACTGTCGGCAAGGCGGCCACCCAGGGTGCCCAGTCCCTACCCCGTCCACACCTGGGACGAGGACTCACTTGCCAGCAGTGAGTTGACCGTCGTCTCCAGCCTGTCAAGGTCGCAGTCCTCGTCTCCATCGCGGGCACAGGCAGGTGTCCAGAAGGCAGAGGTAAACGCGTGCGACTTGCAATCAGCCCTCAACTGTAAGTCGACAATCCTCTGGGTTGATTCGAGTTCCAATTTTTTCGTCTTTTCACATGCAGCGTTTGCATACTCTTTTAGTTGTTCCTCCTTGGCAGATTGGCAACCGTGGGCGGAGGACTGTGAGTTACGGCTGAGCTCTGACGCTGCTTTGTGCATTGTTACACCGGAAAGATTACTGTTGTGATTCATTTCCTTCTTCATTTTAGGAGTTGTGGCATTGGAGAAGACGGATCTGCAACACATTTCGCCGAATGTCTTGTGGCATCTGCAGAGTTCCCCATAGATCTAGGTGTAATAGGTAGTTCTTGTTGTATATATATACCTGTAAGACCTCATTTCAGATTATTTATCTCATTCTTCTGTAATTCGATATTCTGTGTGAGGAGGGGATTGCGGTTATGGGGGGTAGGAGGGTGACATTTTATGGATTCTCAAGGGGACTGTTGCAAGATTCTGGAATGCCGTTAGTAGTCTGTGTGATTATGAATGTTAAGGTGATATAGGTTAGTGTTATTGGGTTCTCCGGTTTTGCGTAGTAAGCTCGATGACGCATTGGTCTGCTTACTGAAGACGTTTATTCATGTGCCTATTCCCGTAGTATAAGGAAGCATAATAAAATTCAGTATCGAATTCTACTCAAAACTCATCGGATTTCCTAACTTCGACCGATCACAAATTTTGTGCACTTTTAATTGAAGTATCAATCTCCTGTCTTTGATGCGTTGACGGCACTGGTGTACTCATTAGGAGGACATCTGCAGACAAGCCTCGCGATTCACTGAACTGCACCTTTCTTAGAACTAGATTCAGAATAGAAGAAGAGGTTGGGCGGAATGCTTAGGTCCTGGGTGTACCCTCGTCAACAAAAAACGAAACCACGAACTGCGGACAGCACTCAGTAGGAGAGCTAATGGCAACACATCTCGACAGGCTTCACA